TAGAGCAGACTCATACTGCTCGGTGTAGACGTTTGGGTGGTATAATCCCACCTATGGATTCTTTAGGCTCCTTGTGGATATAGGTCAGGTGCAAAATTAAAATAAATTAAAATAAAGAAAATAAAGAAAAATGGCAAAGTGTCTTATGACAAATAAAATTCTTTATTATAAAGTAATTGATAAAATATCTAAAATATCTAAACGCGTTTCGTCTCAAAAGGCTTCTTCAAGTAGATAACAATAAAAGGAAGGCACACCTGACATTCAAAGGTTTATATAACATACAATAATACTATGGGGATTCGAAATTCCCGCCAAAATGACGTCATCAAAATATTGGTTTTATAATAGAACTGAAAACAAGTTGAAATAATGTGTATCAATATAGTGAAAGAAAGATAAAACAATTCTAAAAGTTATTTACTTATTAAAAAAAACAAAAAAACTTTCAGTCCTTGGTATGGAAATAAACGATTTAAAAGATAAGATGTCCACATTTACAGAAACACAAGTTTTCAAACAAAATTCGATTTTTATTCAGAATAAAATTGAAAAAGTGGAAATGGACACCAAACATATTAAGGTAAAAAAATATATCCGTGATAAACAAGATTATTCTACTAACCAGGTCCGCTCCTACCACAAAATAAATATTCCAGATGATAGGATTTACCCATCCTCCAATACCTACCAAAATGATCAGACATCCAAAATACACTATCACCGTCCACCTAGAAGAGACACCCAATATCCTTCTTATCCTCTTGTAAGAAAGCCATCCTTCACATCATCACGTAACTATCACTCAAACCGGTCACATGTCACTAATAAATATCCTAACTATCATACTCAATCTAGGCATTCACTTCATCATCAACACGATTCACTTCCTTCTACACATAATACCACTAATCACACAAGCAATACTCATCACTCTCCTGGTTTGTATCAAAATGAAAGAAATATTACACCAAAAACTCAAAGACCAAGGTATGCACAAAGATACTTTGAAGTCCAAAGATCCCCCCCCTAGTTATGTTCACAACAATAAATACCAATTGTTATCTGTGGATTCAGAAACACATAATGAGGATTATTTTTTAGAGTTGAGCACACAAAACAATGCATATGCACTAACACCACATCCTATAAAAACCAAAAAACGAAGTCTGAATTTAGAGGAAGGAGAAGTGGTAGAAGACTCCAAAAGAGAAAGGCTAGACAGACAATAATCAAACCAAATGAAAAAGATCTTGGAATTTTTAACCTATCCCAAAAGGTACTAACATCTACTCAAATATCAGTCTTAACAAAAGGTCTAAAATTTGCCCCCACAAACCCTTTTAAACCTTTTATAGACATCAATAAGTTTGTCAGAAAAGCCACTTTGAAAAGATTTTTTGCACATAAAGACACAGAAATCCCTAACTCACAATCTGTAGCTATCTCATCATCAGGTTCACAAAAAATAATTTCTACCTCTTTAAAGAAAACTTCGACTTTCTTTCCCTCTAGCTTTAAATCAGGTCCTTTAGAAGTTTTCGAAAAATTAGTTAAAGACCTAGAGAAAATTCAAAGAAATAAATATGATCTTGATAATCTTACACAACTAGAACGCGTAGCATTACAACAATTACAGAGAGATGAAAATATTGTCATAAAACCTGCAGACAAAGGGGGGGGGGGGGTATTGTTATCTTAACTAAAGATATGTATACCAAAGAAGCTATGAGACAACTAAACGACTGTACAGTTTATGAAAAATTAGTACGTGACCCAACACCTAAAATACAACAAGTTTTAACTTCATTTTTAACTAAGGGCCGTAAGCAAAATATTTTAACCAAACAGGAATTTGAATACCTAAACGTATCCCATCCTATTATCCCGGTCATATACTTTTTGCCAAAAATTCATAAGAACATTACTAATCCTCCTGGTAGGCCTATTGTCTCAGGAATTAAGTCTATTTTATCCAATCTATCCGAATACCTGGACATTCTTTTACAGCCTTCAGTGAAACGTATGAAGTCATACTTAAAAGACTCTATGACTTTACTCCGTTTTTTAAATAATTTTAAATGGAAAAATACATATATTGAAGTGACCTGTGATGTACAATCTTTATACACTATTATTCGTCATGATCAAGGTTGTCGTGCAGTTGAAAATATTTTAAAAGCGGAAAATAATATCTCAGATCAACAGGTAGATTTTATTATTCAGGGTATAAATATTATTTTAAATAACAACTATTTTTGGTTTTTAGATTCCTTTTATTTACAAAAACAGGGTATTGCCATGGGGACCGGGTTTGCACCCAGCTATGCCAACCTATTTATGGCAGAGTGGGAATCCACCGCCATTCTAGGAGGGCATGGCTGGCAAACAAACCTGGTCACCTATTTTAGGTATATTGATGATTTGTTTTTTATTTGGGATGGCCCAGAAAACTCATTGAATCAGTTTTTACAGCATCTTAATCAAAATGATAAAGGTATTATTTTAACTTGGGACTATAGTAAATCGTCTATCCATTTCTTAGACTTAGAAATTTTTATTGATAATGAATATATTCATACTAAAACTTTTTTTAAAGAGGTATGCACTAACAATGTTATTGATGTATCTAGTTGCCATCATAAGCCTTGGCTTCAAGGAATTCCTAAAAGCCAACTCCTCCGTTTACGCAGAAATTGTTCCCTCACACAAGATTTTGAGGAACAATCTCGATTGCTGTCCAATAATTTTTTTCAAAAAAACTACCCTAGGAGTGATTTAGATAAAGCATTAAAAAATGTTAGTGCAACTAACAGATCCGAATTATTAGAATATAAGAATAAGAAAGAAGCCAAAGCTGCCCCAGTATTGCCAATTATTTTCGACTTCAATAACAAAAGTAACGTTTTGAAGAAGATTATAAAAAAACATTGGCATATATTAAAACAGGATGACACTATCTGGGATTATACCTGAGAAACCACAAGTTAAAACTGGGTGCCCCTCTGAATATAAGTCTATCCTTACAAATAATTATACCAAACAGAGCACTTTATCTCCCAGTCCCTCTATTTTTTTAACTAAACCCAGTGGTTTTTTTTTTTTTATCAATTCTTTATTTTTGCATTGACAGACATTGAAGGTGAGAGCATTTTTGACTTACGCAGAAGCCCAACTTTCAAATATGCTTTAGTCATGTTACAGAAAGAAAATCTGGGTTGTTAGCATACATAATATACATTTTAGACATGTTGCATGTGGGTTGCGCAAAGGCTGTTGTCATTTAGCTTTCGCCCGTCAAAGGTTTTTATTTATTCGTTGTATGCACAAAGAAAAACATATATACAAGAAAAAACGATAAAGTGAAAGTAGGCGTTAAATCCTAAAACTGCACGAGTGAGTAGCTGTCTGTGAGTGGGTGCTCATTTGTCTTATGATTTTTCATCATATTGCTCCCAAAGGGCCCATACCTTTTGAAATGTGGTGGTAGTGTTCCGAACGGTAGCTGTCATCTTGTCCATTAAGTAATTATCTCTAATTTTGGAAATTACTAGAGATAGTGGGGGTGTCTCTGGTTTTATCCAGTATTGTGCCAGTGCCCTGCGAGCTGCTAGATTGAGCATATTCAAGTTTTTGGTCATGTTTGTCTAGTCCGTTTGTCGGTCGTGACAATAGACATGCCCAGGGGTCCAGTGTTATTTGTCGGTGTAGGATTTTAGTGTGCATGGCCACTTTTTTTTCCCAAAACTCTTTTACTTTGGTGCACTGCCACCACATGTGGATGTAAGTGCCTTTTTCTCCACATAGTCGCCAGCAGGTATCGGTGGGGCAGAGTTGCATGTGTTGTTGCTTGACTGGTGTTGTATACCACCGAAGCATTATTTTATATGATTGTTCCTGTAGGGTCGTGCATATAGACACTTTTGTGTTCGCCTCCCATATGTCTTGCCACTCCGTCCCCTCTAGTGTTTCACCCAGATCCGCTTCCCATTTGTCTGTGTATGTCTGCGGGCCCCACGTGCCTGATTCTAGGCATATGTGGTTGTAGAGCAGAGAGATTAGTTTCGCTGGCATGCTTTCTTTTAGGCAGATTTGCTCAAAGAAGGTAAGCGGCTTGGCATTTGCCATTTTGACCTCATTGGTTTGCCCAAAGTCCCGTAATTGTATATATCGGAAGAAGTCGCGGGTTTGTAATGGGGCTAAGGTTTGTAAGTGTTGGTATGTTACTAGTTGGTTATCTAGGTATGGGTGGATATAGCGTTGTAGGTTCGTGGCTTCGATGCCTTTAAAATCTCGTGCCCTTAGGCCCGGTGGGAATGCTCTGTTACGTAGTACTGGGGTCATTGGGGACGGGAGGTGTGTGAGTTTGAATTTCTGCGCGATCTGGTCCCATAAGCTAATGGAGTTTAGGATGGCCGGGCAGTCCGTCCGTAAAATTGTTCTGTGATGTCTCGGTGTCCATATGAGGAATTGCGGGAGGTCTGCTCCTGTCATGAGGGATTCTATGTCAACCCAACGGCGTTGATTTTTGGGGCAGTGCCAGTGAGCTATTTGGGCAACTTGGGCTGCGGTATAGTAATGGTGGAGGTGGGGCATACCCAGGCCTCCTCTCCCCCTGGGGTTATACAGTATTTTTTTGGCTATTCTTGGCCGCTTTCTCTGCCAGATAAAGGCATCTATTGCCTGTTGTAGGCCAGCTAGGTCACTCTTGGTCACTCGAATCGGGAGTGCTTGGAATAAGAATAGCAGTCTTGGCAAAAGGTTCATTTTTATGGAGTGTAGGCGACCTAGCCATGTGATTTGTGGTTTGTCTGTCCAAGTTTCTAAGTCCGTCTTGAGTTTCGTGATCAGTGGAGTGTAATTATGTTTGAATAGTGTGCTGTGATCTGCTGTGAGTCTGACGCCTAGATACGTGAGTGTGTCTGTGTTGGTTTTGATATGGTAGGTGTGTCTGATGTGTTGTGCCTCCCGGTCAGATATATGGAATGTCAATGCCGTCGATTTGGTTAGGTTGACTTTGTATCCTGATACGTCACCGTATGTCTGCAGTAGCATTTCTAGATTTGCCATTGATTGGGTTGGGTCTGTGAGTGTTAGGAGTATATCATCTGCGTATGCAGCTACTGTGAAGTGTTCATCTCCTAAGTGCACTCTTTTTATGTTTGGGTTAGCTCGTATGAGGTGTAGGAGTGGCTCTAGTACTAAAGCAAATAGGAGTGGTGACAGGGGGCAGCCCTGTCTTGTTCCATTGCTCACTTGGAATGGGGATTTTGGCGCTCCTGTAATTATGGTTTGTGCTTGCAGGTTCGTGTATAGGGCCTTTATTGCCTTGATATAGGGTTCTGGGAAGCCTTGAGTTTGAAGTACTGTGAACAGAAAAGGCCATTGTACCCTATCGAAGGCCTTTTCCGTGTCGAGGGAGAGGACAAGGGCAGGTAGCCTAGTGTGTGATATGTGCCAGATCAGATCCACACCTCTGTGTGTATTTTCATATAACTGGCGTCCTGGTATGAAGCCGACCTGATCTGGGTGTATTAATTTGGGTAACAGTGGGATTAGCCTAGTTGCCAAAATCTTTGCGAATACCTTTAAGTCGGTGTTGATGAGGGAGATGGGTCTGTAGTTTGCGGCAAGTGTGGTGTCCTTGTTAGGTTTGGGCAGTAAGATAATGTTGGCGGTGGCCATGTCTCGGTCTGGAGTTCCCCCCTGAAGGAAGTGGTTACATAGTTTGGTGAGGGGGGGTGTCAGTTCCGTCGTAAATGTTTTATAATAGCCCATATCGTAGCCGTCAGGTCCTGGTGCTTTGTTCCCCTTTAGGGCGGAGATCGAGGCCGCCACCTCCTCCGGTGTGATGGGTGCTTCTAGAGCGTTGGCCTCTCCTGTTGTCACCCTGGGTAGGTTAGTGTGGGTTAGGAAGTCAGCTATGCGGGCGTGTTGTTGGGTCTGGGCATCACCCTCCAGTGGTGAAAGGTTATATAGTTGCTGAAAGTATTCTGTAAAGGCGTCATTGATATCTTTTGGGGTGTTAACTAGTTTGTTGGCTTTGTTACGGAGCGTTGTGATGGGTTTGTATCCCTGTCTCGGTCTGAGTGTACGCGCTAGCAGTGTGTCCATTTTATTGGCTTTTTCATAGAACTTGCGCCGTGACCATAGTATAAGACGTGTTATTTCTGCTGTCATGTGCTCCCTGATTGCGTGTCGAGTGCCTTGGAGTTTGTCGTATGTGGTGGGGGATGGGTTTTGTTTATGTTGTTGTTCGAGCTTCCGCATAGCGGTTTGTAATTCTAGTAGGTGTTTTGTTCGTGTCCGTTTTTTATGAGTGGCTGCCTGTATGAGATGCCCCCTCAGTACAGTTTTGTGTGCCGCCCAGCGTGTTATTGGGTTAACGTCTTCCGTGTCGTTGGTACTAAAATAGTCCGTGATTTTTTGTCGCGTCGTGGTAAGTATTGTTTCATCGGTGAGTAGGGTTGTGTTGAGTCTCCATGTCCAGTTGTTGTGGTGTTGGAGGTTCCCCAGCGTAATCGCTACATCAGCGTGGTCTGACCACGTGATGCTGTTT